CATTAAAAATGTTGATCATTGAGTGGACTACAGTTACCTTTTTTTCTGCCAGTTTATTTACAAATAAATACAGAGAGGGGGGGTCTCTTCTGTGAAAATGTGCTCCACTTCACCCCAATGGTGCGTCTGTATACACACAAATTCGGTTTTGGGTTTTGATCCGAATATAAAAAGCGTAGAAAAAGCATAAAGGAAAAAAAAAAAATCTTGGTGCACGAAAGAGACTATTTTCTGTCTATCTGAGATCCCTGGTACTGTGTCTAAGAGCGACTGCATTGTGCGCAGTGCGGACCCTTGCTGTCTAACAACCGATGCGTGCTGATGAGCTCCACTTTTTCTCATCTTCAAAAACCGTCGTCAACTTTGTAGTGGGAGGGGAAGAAAAAGTGGTTATGGCAAAACAGAACAATTGTGCATTATACCTGTGAAACAAGTGTAATAGGCATTAACAGACATTATACAACTGTACATCTTGCAAAAGGGAAATCAACCCAAATAATGAATATGGACTAACGAAATACATTTAACTAATCTGTCTGTCAGCTCTGTGATTGTGTATAGTCAGCGTTTCCGCCAGGGCGTCTTGCCGTTATTTGACGCTCTTCTTCAGCTCGGAATGCCCTGAACTCGAGCCGAGGGCGTCCAAAAAAAAAGATCGAGAGTTTTTATCGCTTGAAATTACGAAAAGGAAAAAGGACAAGGACAGCCCTCTGTTGGAGGGGCAAAGAAGTCTGGTGGGATTATTTTCGCCGCCAGCAAAGTGCGTTCCTGTGACGAAAAAAAACAAAACACCACCGCATCTTCCAAGGACCACGCCAGGAGGGGTGTCCCTGTCGGCAGGGAGACGTTAAGAGATACTAGAGAACTGCAGTGACGCCTCCTAAAACCCGGAAGTAAACTTCTTTCGGTTCCTTCGACAAAAACCAATGCAATTTCTCCGTAGGATTTAGGAAAATAGCTTGAAATAGTCTGTGTTTGACACACATTTAAGAGACGGATCACGTCTTAAGACCTTATTTCAAGCTATTCTCCAAAATCCTATGGAGAAGTTGCATTGCATTTTTGTCGAAGGAACCGGAAGAAGTTTACTTCCGGGTTTTAGGACGCGTCACTGCGGTTCTCTATAGTATCTCTAGGGACGGCGCAATTCAAAATGGTGTGTGTGTGCATATGTAAAGAGATAGTAGCCTATCTATAAGGGACGGCTCAATTCAAAATGGGGTGGACGCCCTCTCAGCCCTGGTCTGGCGGAAACACTGTATAGTAATTTTGAAAAGGATTTATAGATAAACTGCACACCATGTTGACTTTCCTGTTGAATTTGAACATGTTTTATCAATACCTAAGGATTCATCTGTCCAACTTCACATTTCTATTCAAAGTAAGTTAGAATATGTGCTAGGGCTGCTCAATTAATCGCATTTTAATCGCAATTACGATTATGGCTTGCAACGATTACGAAAACAACGTAATCGAAATAAAACAATTCTTTTTTTATTATTACTTCTTTTTTTTTCAGTTGAATTATACTTAAAGTTCAAGGTTCAAGGTTCAAACTGTTGAAAACATACGGTTCAAATGTTTTTCTCCAATAAATGGATGTTTTCAAAGATTTAATAATCGCAATTACAATTATTGACCCGAATAATCGAGATTATGATTCTTGCCATAATCGAGCAGCCCTAATATGTGCTATAAAAAGGATTCATTTGGGTTGATTTTCTTCTTTAATAAACGTCAAGGGTGACAGAGTCAATAAAAAAAACTATACAGAGCCTGGTCCTAGTACAAGGGTGAACTGTCCTTGGTTTTACTCATATGTTTTACTACATCAATTTTCATTATAAGTAAAGGCAACTGATTTCGTACCACTCTTCATCTTTATGAGCCAAAAAGAAGTCCTGCATCTGCTGCCGGCGGAAGTCGATCTTGTACTCGTTGTAACGTTTGACCGCCTCCGTCTCCTCCACAGAATCATCCAGAGACAACAGGAACTCCTTAAAGGTCTTCATTATGGGAGGGGGGGGACCCAGATCCATGTCATGGAGGTTACCCAGTCTGAAGGAAGAGAGTTGGAAGAGTTTTGAGAAAGCTGGAGGGTACTTTGGGACTATAACCTTTGCAGACCATTCACAAACACATGTTTAACACACTACAGGAAAGAAGAAATAAGGTATATTTAAGACGTTTAAAATAACATTTATATTTATATTAGGGCTGCTCAATTAAATCGTATTTTAATCACAATTACGATTTTTGTCTTGCAAGGATTATGAAAACAACATAATCAAAATAAAACGATTATTTATTTATTTTTAAATTATTATTTTTTCAGTTGAATTATACTTAAAGTTCAGGTTAATCAATTGTTAAAAACATACTGTACACAGAAACTGAAAGATTGATAATAAAGTTGACTTTGACATTTAACTTTCTCACCTCGCCTGGATAGGGATGCCGTGATGAGGCTGCATGAGGTGTAGGTCTGGGTGGCCCCAATGCTGCGGTGGGCCATAGCTTGGACCCCCTCCACCCCCTCCTCCTCCTCCACCTCCTCCTCCTCCGCCGCCTCCTCCACCCCCATAGCCCAGGTCGTACCCCCCACGGTAAGGATCTCCACCATGGTCATCCCTGCCATGGACAGATGAAAGAGCATAAGTGTGATGGAAACTTCTGAAGCAATGGAGACTCAGAGCTTCGGCCGGAGAATTCACAAGACATGTGCTGAGCCACGAGGTGACACAGCGGTTGCCAAACCAATTCTGAAGATGTCTACCCCCAGACCCGTGTATTTAGCTGGTTCTGAGAGAATAATCAACAAAGTGCATAACAAGATAACGCACCATAACACCTCTATCAGCCAACAGGCAGGAATAGGGAGACAAAACACTGAGAGCACAGCAGACCAAGGTTGTGCTCAGTGAGGGCAAACTGATCAACTGGGTCAAAGTTATGGGCCTAGGAAAATATTTCCCCAACAGTTTATAAGCACCAGCAGCTTCTAGTTGCAAAAGGTGTGTGTTTGTGACGGCAGATAATCTCACCAGTCTCTCCTCATGCGTTTCTGCTGAGGACTCATGTCGTGTCTGGGCGGCGTGAATCTCTCTCTCCGACCTCGGTCATAATCCCGGTATTCTCCACGGCTTCGTCGTTCCCTGCCCCGGTCCCACTCTCTGGAATATTGATTTCGGGAGATATTATTATTAAAGAAACATTCAAATTAAACAAATGTTATCACCAATTAGATGCACGTTGTTGGCCTGCCAGAGACTTTATTTGCACGTTGTTCGCATGTACAGTATGTTTTGTGTTATGCTGTTGTGCCACAGGTATGTTTAAAATGTGGTCATGCCAATAAAGCCCCTTTGTATTATATTGACTTGAGCTTTTATACATCTTATTCTTACCGGTCGTTCCAGTCATCCCTGCGCCTGTCGTCTCTCTCTCTCGAACGGTCGTAGTCACTTCTCTCCCGTCTGAATTTGTCCCTTCTCCTGCGATCGTACTCATCATCACTGTCTCCCATCTCCAGGCAAATAGAAAAGGGCACATTTTAGGATAACAGTTAACCTCGATGTGCGTTAAGTAGCAGAAAACAAAAGATAGTTAAATTACGACCTAAACTTTTCATGACTGTATTTTACTAGGAACCTGTTTGTAACCAAGGCTGGCAGTCTAAAAAACGAAAACATTACTCGGCCAGTGTTATGGGATTCAAATGTGATATTTTTAATTCACAACTATCATTTGTCTTGGATCTTATCATTCATACGCGTGTGAATAAAGAAAAGACACAAAGCCTGGTGAATCACAGCCACTTTAAAATTGATATCCCCATAAAAGGTCTGTCAACTAGTCTGCCCACACTTCTGAAATCAAATTTATTCCAGATTTAAAATGTTCACTACAAATATTGAGGTCTAAGAGCAAATGAGAGCTGTACTTATTGTACTGTAAATTAACTAAGTGTATTAAGTGAAGTAGATATAAACTCTACGTGCAGCAAACCCGTTTCATGCCCTGTATTTGAACTATGCTAAATTGTATTATCCCCTATCAATTAATAAACTAACATGTGGGGGAAAGTATGGAAACTACGATGAGAACACAAGGATACTGAGACGGCCTTCAAGACAGGCACTTATGTAAAAGTGTTTCAACAACAATGCTACTGATAACGTAGACCTTGGATATCCATATTATCAAAGAACTAGAAATAAGAAGTTGTAACACGTCTGGGAATAACGGCTCAAAGTGAAACAAAGAGGAGAGTTGTTGATGTAGCATGTTAGCTAACGTTAGCTAGCATGCTACATTAGCTAGTTAGAAAGTCATCGTTTTCCTTCATTATCCGCAGTACGCCTTTCATTTATCCGATGCATTAACTAGAGAACTGTTGCTGTTTTGTTGGTTTAACCACTATTGATACACTATTAGCTAGCACATTAATACCTTAGAAATGAGTTGAACGTATGATGGTCTGGTTCTTCTTCTGCTCCACCACTTCAGCTTACTTCTTCTTCAGTTGGCGGTGAAAGGAAATCAATAAAATGGCGCATCACCGCCGCCAACTGGAGAGAACCATGCTTTTTCATTGATATCCTTTTCCTCTTTTGATTTCCCATCTTTAAAGTCCGGTCACAAGCTCGTTATCTAACCTCAATTGCCCCGAGTTTATATCCTGTGTAAATACTATGTTTATTGAGTGTATTAAAGCCTCTTTGTGTTGTATTGTACATTTAAACCCAATGAGGTTTCCATGGCAGCACCATTTCTTAAAATATAAACGGTGCAGATCTGCCGTTTGTTCATCGTGACAGGCAGAGGTGGGAGAAGTACTCAGATCACTGTACTTGAGTAAAAGTAGAAGTACCAGAGTGTAGGAATACTCTGTTACAAGCAAAACAAACTTGCATTCAAAATGTTACTCAAGTAAAGGTACAAAAGTATTAGCATCAAAATATATAGTAGCAAAAGTAAAATAAGTCATTGTGCAGATTGGTCCATTTCAGAATAATATATGATGTGTTTTCTAATGATTGATCATTAAAGTGTTATCCAAGCTGGTAAAGGTGCAGCTAGTTTTGTATACTGCAGGGTAGCTTGTGAATTTACTCCAGGTGGAACTAAAGTCTGATTTAAGAGTTGATTAAAGTTCACTTCATTAATCAAAATCTCTAAAGTAACTCAAGGTATTAAATGAATATAGTAGAGTAAAAGTACACAAGTTACCTCTGAATGGTAGTGGAGTAGAAGTACAATGTAGCATACAATGGAAATACTCAAGTAAAGTACAAGTATCTCAACATTTTATAATATTATACAATACATAACTTAGTTACTTCCCACCTCTGCTCACAGGAAAATCGGTGCTCGTTTCTTCGTTTCAAAAAGTAAAATATTGTTTTTTCTCTGACAAAAAGTGCTGGAGCATCCATGCAGCTCTAAACAAGACATTTAAAAGAAAACATCTCTTGCTAATATATTATCATAGAAATACATTATAATTTGTAGTCTAACAGAATAACCCGGCCAGAAAGAGATCATTAAAAAGTACAATTCAAGCACTAACATCAATGAAACCTAACAGTAATGATTCATTTGCACAGTTGCAGTCTTTTTATTCAGTATTAAGAGCAGCGTTTAAGAGCAAAAGTGTGACATTGTGGAAAAAATAAGCAATGAGGGTTTGTTTTCAAATCATATTTTAATAGATTTAACTCTTATACAATCTTATTTACTTTCACAATCCAATGAACTTCTAAGTACATCCTTTCTCGGTGCATTTCTTTGTCCTTCCTCTGAACCTTAACGGGTGCCTCATGGGTGTTGCTTGTGGCCAAAAATGAGTATTCAGCTCTTCGTCCTCCATGATAAATGCAGACTCCACTTGTTGTGTGAAGGAACGGTCGTCTCTGGATCCAAACACAAAGTCTCCTCCGGGTCCACCATTGCCGTTCAAAGGACTGGAGATAAGGTGGGGTTGGTAAGTGGTTTTCAAAAAACCCTATGAATATGTAAACAATATTTATTGTCTCTTGATTTCTGCACAATATAATTGATATATACAGCATATTCAAATAATTGTTCCAAAAAATGACAAATTAACGTTGACATACAAGGAAAATACATTTAAAAAGGTCACATTTCATATATCAGGAAGATAAATGTGTATGTTACCTTCCTGTAGTCTTCTGGAGCCTCTCTGGAGTCAAGCAGCACAAATGAAGATACAGTGAAGAACAGCAAGAAAGACACTGTGAGAAAAGACGAGCATGACGACAGTGATCCAGGCATCTTTTCTTACAGTTGCATGTGTCTGTACCCAGGAAAAAGTCCAATATCTTTAATGCTTTTCAACGCAGCACAATCTACAAATGCCTTGTGTATTTATTTCTGAGCTTGCATGGACCACACCATCTCATTTATAGTCCCACATGCCATAATCCAGCCAATGGCTAACTCAGCGCTGAAGGTTCATTTAGCTCACACTTTCTTTAAAGCAGCAGGTGACATGACTAAAAGCACATAAAATAATATTATGGGAAGGATTAATGGTGACGCATTCATCATCAACTGAAGGAATTCTTAATGAATCAACACCCAGAGGCAGGAAACTAATTTCAGGCCATGTCTGCTAATCTGCCTTGAAAAGACAAAAACATTTACGCGCTATTAGAGCTACTTTTTTCCCAATTGATTAACTTTCTGCCTTTTGAAGTGAAAAAACAGGAAACAGGGAATAAATGTGGTTATTTTATAATAGGTAGGAAACAATTGTTGCTCCACAAGACATACCATGAACCAAAATTAGATTTGTATTTCAGCTTTGTGTGCTGCACACTCACCTACCTAACCTACAGATCTAATCAATTCGTCAAGTTTTGCGGATGAAACAACAGGAAGGAGGTGAATCAGCTGGCCACGTAGTGCTAGTCCCGTGAATAACATTCGTTTTCAGCACCATGGAGTTTTTATATTTTCATTTTATATTTGTGGAAAACACAAAACCCTGGAGTGAGGATGGCGAAACTGTCTCCAGTAAAGAAAAGTAAAAGAGGTATGGGCTCTGAGACGGTTAAATGGAAAAGAAAATGTAAACAGACTTGGACAGTTACAGAAAACTAGATCTGTGCTGCGGCTGCTGCCGTAATTTCAAGTAACATTGCTGTCGCCACAGATCCAGGTCTTTGTCGAGGTGGAACAAAGTATTTTTCTTAGCTGAAGCAATACGTTCTTGTTTAAAGGTCACATATTATGCAAATCATGTCTTTTATACATAAACATGTGTCCCCTCTGTGTAAAGAGATTCTGAAAGTTTCAGAAAAATGATTCTCTCTTCTTGTCCTGATCCATTTATATAAAAACTGATCAGATTTTGGCCACTTTGTGATGTCATAATGTATTTTGGGGTTGGGCAACCATTAGCCAATCACCAACCCCCCCACCCCTCCCCTAAACACTTTTGAAACAGGGCTGAAACAGAGGGGAATATGGGATGCTAGTACAATTATCTATTTTGGTATTTGGAGCAAAAACTTCAGAGACATGTTTTGTATATATCTGAGAACTATAATATATTGTTTAAAAAAGACTATAATAGGGGACCTTTAAATCATTAACATATCAACAGATTTATGCAATTTGTGTAGCCGTGTAAAAAGCGAGATACTGTGCAGCGAGGCAACAGGGTGATCAGGATCCCTAGACCCCTTTCGCACCAACGCGGTTCCCGGGCCGGTTCTGAGCTAGAGCCTGATAAGCACCGTTACGTCGGAGGCAGGCTCAATCTGAGCATTAACAGTTTAGGCGAGTGCGGCAAATAAAAGTTGCAACAAGCAGTAGCGCTGAGCAAAGTGACTAGAACGCAACCACACACTAAAAAAACACCTTCTATAAAGTCAGGCAACACTAGTGAGCCGTTATTGTCCTATAGGCTTCATTGATTAAAGTAAAAGAACCTGAAAGAGTACCCTCAGCAAGGGGTCCCGCTCTGGGCTCATTAGTGACATGCTAATCAGTTCAAAAACCTGAAATACATTGCCAGAACATTTCTTTGTGAGAAATGCTTTAACAAAAATGTCCTTTTCTTTTCATTTTTAATAAAAATATACCACCTGTAACGCTTTGACGTATGAACAGTGGGGGTGTGAAGGTGAAGATATAGATATAGCAGTCTGCATTATTATTAAAGTATATTAATTTTGGGATTAATATCTATTTAAAAAATGCTAATAATTGGTAACTTCTAATGGCTTCTTTCTTTTGTTATGTTAACAAAAGAGGCAACACAGTCCCGTTTCAATACCATTTAATCTTCCACAAACCACACATTAAATGCAGATTTCCACAGGCTGTGTTTAGACATCCTACATATTTTCAAACCTGGCAGCTTTATACATGAAAATTATAATTGACACTGTACATCTATTTTTGTTTGTGTGTGATAAACTAGGAACACAGACGTTTCAGTTAACAGTCTCTTACTGTATATCAAGACATTAAAAGCAACACAAAAAAACAAAACACAGTACAGATTCATTTGATACTGGAAATAGGAGAAAAACTGTTCTATTTTACAATACAGACTATTGCCAAAAAGTCCCAATCAAAGTATCTTTTAATCATCAGTAGAATATAAAGGAGGAATGTTATAATTTCTGATTCCCGTTTAATAAACAAAACACATCCTTTGACAGAGCGCTCCAGAATCATTAACAGTGTGTTATAAAATAGTTGTGGTGTTTTAGGGGGTTTTGTTCTGCCCCCCGTCTGACGTGGTAGTTGAGATTACATAGCAGGACTTTTCTTAATGGATTTTTTTAGCATAATAAACGGGTGGAAGAGAACATTCATACCAAAGATGACAGTCACCTAAAATTACATTTCAGATTACAAAGGAGTGAAAGTCAAAAATGTCCACACCCATACATTAAAAACTAAAATTCCAGTTATAAATGCAGTAACACCAAATCATCTTTTCCGTTTGTGCTATTCTGTATATCATTTGACAGCACACAACTAATCCAGGTCCTTTTATAAAACAGAGAAATAAGTCATTCGTTGTTTGACAGTCTCTGAGATTGTCCAAATGTTCGGGTGCAAATCAAGCAGTTTGGGTTTTGCTAGCACAAAGCATGGCTGTCTCTTTCGTATTTTTCACTATAAAAACCTGTGATATACATCGGTATCAAGGGGGGTTAAATCATCGTTTTCTTACCAGCAGTATTACATAAGTGTTGCCGTTTTGAGTCAAGGGGGGGGAAGTGTTAATCCAGTTCCTTCATTTCCCAAATATTTAGCGGACACATGAACATAGAGGCCAATGTAAGGCAATGCTCTTATTCCTAAAAACACCTCCAGGGTCCCACAGTCAAACAAGTAATCATTTTTTCGTATATAAAAATGGAAAAAACATCCATTGAAACCTATATTTCGTTAAAAGCTAAAACGTACACATTATAAGACCTACTGTTGTTGAATCTCACTGTCATTAATTTACTGACTGACCTCTTATCTGTTGCTAAAACCTGAGTTTGTTCAACGTGACAAACTACATACAGCTA